ACTGGCAGCATATTGTGTTCAGCGACGAATCCTGCTTTTGTTTGGGGGCTCACGATGGCCGTGTGAGAGTATGGCAGCCCGCTGGTCAAGGTGTCAATCCGGCCTATACCGTGGAGCAGCACACGGGCCCAACCCCCAGTGTTATGGTGTGAAGAGCCATAACATACGACAGTAGGACACCTCTAGTTGTCATGCGTACTACCCTCACAGCCAAACGATATGTGCAATACATCCTCCAGCCACATGTGTTGCCTCTCACGGAAGTGCTTCCGACAGGCATATTCCAGCAGTGTGTGCCCGGCCACACACTGCAGTGGTCTCCCAAGCATGCCTACGTAACGTTGCCACACTTCCTTGGCCTGCACGGTCTCCAGATTTATCATTAATTGAACATGTGTGGGACCACTTGTCAGATCCTGCCAGCTGCGACAGCCGCAGGATCTGACGCATCTTGAGTCCTAATCGCATCATGCATGGACAGATATGCCTCAGAACATTATTCGCGACCTTTATGCCTCCATGCCGAGGCGTATCACAGCTTGTATCCGCGCTAGAGGCGGCCCAACAGGATATTAGTACCTGCACTGTATTGCATATTACTGCACAATAAAGTATGTTTTTGTTTTATGGTTGCAATCATATATCTGTCTAGCAATGACGATGTAATATACCAATTTTTATTCAAATCCAACAAGTCCTTCATGGTGCATTATTTTTTTGGTCGTCCAGTGTATCATATGACCACTTAAAACTCTCATTTTTGATAGACTATTATCATCAAAGTTTTTTTGCAACATTTCCAATGTTTTTCTAGCAGTAATTCTGTTGCGAAAACAAAATTTAATGTATGTTCTTTGCTTAATTATACTTAACATTTTGAAAAATTGCTGGTGCAAAAATTCTTTACACACTTATTTGCAATTAAAATATTTACAATTATTTGCACATTTACAATTTATTTGCAAACAAAAACAGACAAATGACATATGGATTGCTGCTATATGTCAATGAAAGTCATACCAAATGACAACAGCCCTCTTGCAAGAGCATAGTTTAAAAGAACTATTCCAATACGTTTTTATTACAGTAATAAACACAATTGCTGAGGCAGTTAAGGAACCAGCTTACAGCTCTGGGAATCTGTAATTGAATCCAAGCAGATTGAAATATTCCAGGGGTATTTTGGAGGTGGTCTGTCCTGGATTTGTTGGGTTTATCTATGCCAACCAGCTGTCCCATTGTGGGCCTGGCCAAATTCTTAATGGCTTGGAAAAAAGTTCTCTTAGTGCCCACAGAGTGGAAAGAATTAAGAAAAAACACGCACATTTTAAAATTGGGTAAATCTATACATTTAAACTATTAAATAAAATTAATAAAAGATAATATAAGTGTGTTTAAGTATAATTTCTTGTGAAATAAATAATTTTGGCTATCTGAAGAAGCAATTTTATTTTTATTAATTATAGATAAATATTAACATATCTTTTTTATGTCTTGTTTATTCAAACGATATGGAATCATCAGAAAAATTTTTATTTCAGTTCACATACTAATTTTAACTTTTTAATTTTTGTTTATTTTCATTAAATAAGTAATGAATTGTTAATTTTTAATTATTTATTTTAGAAATGTATAAAGATACAAGTCATCAAGAAGTTTTTAAAAAAAGAATAAAAGCCATTCAATTACTATTTCTCTTATTGCCACCACAAAATAAAAGTTTATTAAATGATTTGCTGATGTTGCTTTATCGTGTAAATCAAGCTAGTGAAGATAACTGCATGGATGCTTCTAATCTGGCAATGATCTTTGGACCTCATATTTTGTATCCAAAAATGGTTTGAATATAAATTTTTCAATTGTATTTTAAATGATTTTAAATATATTTATGAATTTGCTTTGATATAAAATTATCATTTTGTCTGATTCTACTTATAAGACTTCTTAAATAATTATACATTTCAAATATTAGACATCTCCTGAAACCATGCAAGAAAAATTAAATTATGTAATTTTGGCTGTGACATTTATGATTGAAAATGCTCCAGAATTATTTTGTCATCCACCTGAACTAATAAAGGATGCTCAGTTGTATCTTTCAAATAATGATACAAAATTACCACAGGTAAGACAATTTTTAGGAAATTAATTAGTACTGTACAATATTATTTTAATAGTATTTTTTAAAATTATGATAAAGTTATTAATTAATTAATTATATAAAATACAGATTATTAATCATAAATTATTAAAAATTCATTTGTCTAAAAATAATGACAAAATGTACTAAATTTGCTAGATTTTTGAAAACAGCAAATTTTTAAACCTCTTCAAATGGTACTTGTAGTTACTTGTCAAAAGATTAAAAAAATAAATACAGCACCTTGCCAAATTATTAGACCCATGCAAAAAAGTTGATGATTTGTTATTTTTTGATATAATAATAATAATGGAATTGTTGATAGGATTATTTAAATATTTATATAGTGGTACCTCAGTATACGCCTGCTTTAGAATACGTCCAATTCAGAATAATCCTGTTTGGACGAAACAAATTTTGCTCGGTATACGACTTTTGTTCGGTATATGACTTAATTCAGTTATACGCGCCATCAATGAACAAATAACACTATCGGTGTGCTAGACCAGACTAGACGTTTGCGGTCCTACGGTTTATAACTTTGTTAAATTTCTTCTGATTTTAATTTGTAAATAAAATTTTATTATTTTTATTAATCATGAATTGAAAAAAGACAAATGAAAANAAAATATTCTATAGTTTAATTTCAAATTAATTTCTGTTATGTCAAATAAAAGAAAGAAATAGATTGATTGGTGCATATAGTACGTTTACGATACGGACCAATCAGAGTCCGGATTGATTTGTTACAGTTTAATTGAATGGCGGTTGGTTCAAATTTTGAATTTCGTTAATCTTGTAAGTAATCGATTGTTTACAAAAGTAAAATATACATTATTTATTTTGATCGTATTTTCAATTTTGATTGTTAAATTTATTTAAAAGTTTATATAAAAGATTAAACAGAATCTTACCATAAGAATCATCATTAGAAGATCAATTATGAATTTATCTTGAAATATGAAATGGAAAAACAATACTGTCAATTGTGCTTTAAAAATTATGGTATTGAGAAAATTTATGTTACATACAATTGAATGAATGATTTAAAAACATTTAAGATTATTGTAAGTTCTCACTGTCAACTGATGAGACACTCATCCAAACATTTTAGAGTTCAAATTGCATTTTGTATAGTGGAAGCATGGAAATACAGTATTTTGGCAAAACAATTGCTGTAGTTTCCAATTTTTGGAAGAAAATTCACATTAGTATAACATTTAAGAGTATTAAATGTTTTCTTTATGTCGTCTGATAAAGCTAAAAAATTGTCTTTACCTGTTAAAAAATTTCCTATAATTTACTTATAATTTGAAAGTTGTAAATATTTATAATCTTGTTATCTTTTACCTTATTCTATTGGCTACTTACAATAAAGATTTTCTATTTTTGTTAATCTATTAATGAATTATATGAAAAATATGTAATTATTTGTATTTCTTTAAAAGAAAACATTTTAAAAAATAAGTATTATGACATAATTTGTTCATAAAATTGTTATGTAACAGGCACCTTATTTTTCTTCTAAAAAATATATTCCAACTTGTAGTACTTTGCATATCCATCTTATAGTTAAATATGCAATGTACTACAGTATTTGTCTGATTGAAAGAGATGTACTGTTCTCAAAATATTTTATAAAAATAATTTGTTAAAGACTGTATAATAGTTTTATGTTGAATTTAATATATGATCTATAAATACTAAAACTTTATGAATTGTATCTATATAATCCTTATCATTTTTAGAAGTTTTGAATTTGGCAACAAAGTAATTATTTTGTTACCAAAATGAATAACATAAACAAAGTTGAAGATATGAATGCTGCTATGAAGTTAGAAATGAAAGATCCTGAAACATATTCTACACTATGTATTATGCATTTATCATTTTTATTAGATTTAAGTAATGAAGAATTAGAAATAATATTAGAAAGCAAAAACAAAAACATAACAAATGAAGTTAATGATTGTAAATCTAAAAAAGGTATTTTATTTTGATATAAAATGAATATTCTAAAATTTAAATTTTAAAATCCAAATTATATATTTTTCTATAATTAGATAAAGAAAATATTTGTGGATCTCCATTAACTCATGAAGGAGTATGTAGAGTGTATCAACTGATTGCATATTTGGGAAAAGATTATAGTGAGTTTTCATATTTAAAAAAATATGATTAATTTATGATATAGAATAAGTAAAAGATTTTTTATAATAACTTATTTAATTTTTATAATAATTA